TCACACAAGATAGCATGGTGACCTGCTGGTGGTCTCAGCTATACAGCAAGAGCCAGGCTTAAAAAGGAAAGAAAAGAAAAAGAAATATATGTGGAATTAAAAACTATCAGATAAATAAGTAAAACTGATAAATTTAGTGTTTCATTATAAAAGAAATATATATATATGTATATACATACATATATAATCTAAGAAAAATTTTTGAACTATTTATTATGAAATCACAATTTCAAAATTTCTTATGTACATTTCTATCTGTGCCTATATCTGAAGAGGGCCTGCAAACAGTGTCTGATCAGTACAATGAGTGTATACAATATTTAGGTCTTATATCTAAATATATTCTCCACTGAAAGGAATTAGGGTCCCTTGGAAAAAGTGCTAATTTTAGATTTAGGAAATATGAGCTAAAATTATCATGTTGGTACAGAAATTAAAGATGCTTCTATTGACCAAAGATGCATGTCAAAAGATAATAATAACTGGCTTGAAGTTCTCTAGCCAAATTTTAGGTAATTTGAACATCAAAAAGAACAAAAATTGCAGTGGGTTTCAAAACATTGAAAAATAAAGACCAAAACCCATCAGTGATATTAAAAATAAACTAATAATCACCTAAAACCTTTAAAAGTGACTATTAACACTGGCATAGAAAAATTAATTCAGGAAAGGAGATTTGTTGGAATTTTCAAAAGCGTATGAGAGGTGTATTATTTCATAAGATTCTTTGGCATGAAGTACAAAACATTTATTTAGTCCACACTTACTTAACTATTAAGTGGCAGTACCAGGTTTTTAATCCAAATTGATTTAAAATAAAGTAATCCAAATTTATTTAAAACCTGTAAATAATTTAAGGATACAGGTTTCCTGGGCAATTATGGTGTGCCTTCTGTGTGGAAAGCACACTGCCATATATTATGCTGAATTGGAAGCAGATTGTGTCCTCAAACTCTGCAAAGAAAGATGGTAAACAGAAAGAAAAAAAGTATTTCAGAGAGCTCAGGCCTAATGTAAAATTCATAGCAGCTCTGGTATTGTGCAGGGACAGTATGACCAAATTAGGAACACTTTCACAATGTTGGTCCCACCTAAATGACCACTGTAGCACTGTCTTTTGTCTCACATAGCAGAGGAAGACTCATCCTATGCCAAGAACAGTGGTGCTGAAGTGTGTGGGTGGCCAGAAGAGGGTTGTGTTCAGGGAATATCAGGATATCATGCCAGGGCAACTGGGTAGGGAGGGGTCTTGAGTTTAAATAGTATTACAGTTTACCAAAGTTTATGAATTGGTTGTCTTTAGTGTAAATAAAGCTCATCAGATGTCAGCTTGAAAAGACACAAGGCCTAGGCATGATCAACCTGGTATCAGCACGCAGTGCAGACAGATTTCCTCTGGAAGCACAAAACCAGAGCTCAAAAAAGAATGTTGAGTCATTTTCAAATGAATGACTGTAAAGCTTCAATTTGTCTGAGGGAGAAGAGAAGAGATCACAGGCAGAACTTTACAGCAGTGTCTCAATAGGAAACAAGAAGAAAACAAGTCAAGAGAGGGAGAAGGGGGCCATGTGCACCTATGTATATATCCTAAGCACAACATTCTGGAGCTGATTTGAAAGACATCTACTAGAAAGTGTGACTTAGACAGTTTGGAAGTGTAAAAGGACTGATTTTTTACTCTAGCACTTTGTTGGATTAATTTAAAATTTTTTGCAGATGAACCTTTTTATCTCTTTGATGATTTTACCCATTATAATTAAACATGTTTTGATTGTAAGCACATCCTCAAAGACTTTAGAAGCAAAGAAATTTGGAGAATGAAAATTCTTTTTTAAAAAATTAATTAATTAATTAATTAATTTTTACACGAGCTCTCATTATTATTATTTTTTTGCATTACAATTCTTAATATACCTTTATACCAAAATTTATCATATCTTTGTATATAAGCTATGTTGACACCAAATTCACATCTTCATACATATATTTGTACAACGATGAGGGTCTTCTTCCACCATCCATCTCACAAACTGTTAAAGTTCTAAGTTAGAGCCTTTGTTAGTGATTACTTATGTTGGAATTTTAGAGAGGGTTTTGGAGGCAGAGCAGTTGTAGGTGTATGAACCATAACATAAAGCCAATAATTTTTAAAATTAGTTCAAATTCACATTGGAAATTGTTCTAATACTCATTTTCTTCACATATTTGACTTTCTTATAGAGTGAAGTGTGGCTGTGACATCTTTATTGCTTGACAAGGTTATAATCAGTGTTAATTGAATTACAGAGATCCTCAGTTCTTATGGAAGATTGTTGAAGATATACCCCTGGAGCATGCTAAGGAGGGGCTTATCACAGAGTGATCTCCCGAAAACAGCCACATCAACTAAGGAACTTATCAAAGCAAATTTTGGGGCCCCATCCCAATCCTGGGGAGTCAGAAAATCTTGGGTGGGACCTGCAACCAGCATTTGTATAGTCTTCCAGGTGACGAAAAGTCTGATGAAGTTTGAAAACCTGCTCCAGGAGATATGGAAAGTATGATGGATTTATGCTACTTAAAGATGTTTTCTTCTTTGAGCTCTGCTAAAAAAATGTCAAGAGGAATATGACTGGTTCTCCGAAGGTCTTGGTTAATGAGAATGCTTTTCCTATAATTACTTAGCATGAATTAAATCTATGATTGCAAATATGGCCATACATAAGGTCTCAAAATGGAATCGTCTGATAATGAAATCCACAACATTATCACTCATAAAATTTTAAATGCATTGGTTTCATTTCAGATGAAAAAGGGAGAGTAAGCACTTCATTTTACTGAAGTTCTGACTTTCCCACTATCTTTCATAAAAAAGAGTGAATAAAATATATATTATAATGCTAATTACCTAATTATATTGATCATATATTTATGCACACACTTAAAATGTTCTTCTGCATTTCAGGTCCAAACTGCTTTGCAGAAACTGCTGTCATTCCAGCTGGCAGAGAAGTGAAGACCGACGAGTGCACCATATGTCACTGTACTTATGAGGAAGGAACATGGAGAATTGAGCGGCAGGCCATGTGCACGAGACACGAATGCAGGCAGATGTAGACACTTCACAATATAAAAACTCTCACGTTTTTCTAGACCCTTTTACTGATGTGAACATTCTAGATGAATGGGAAGTATCAATCAAAAGGAAAAGACTTTTGATAAGGAATCATGGAAAATAGTTGGTACATTTGCTTTTCTTGGTAACAATTACTGCAAAAGAAGGAGATGGATATATTTCAAAACATCAACAAGAACTTTGGGCATAAAATCCCTCTCTAAATAAATGTGCTATTTTCACAGTAAGTACACTAAAGTACACTATTATATAATAAATGTATTTCTATAATCCCTCTATTAGAGAGCTTATATAAATGTTTTCTATAGATACAGATTAAAAATGCTGTGCTGTCAACCGTCTTCACTGTGTACCTGCATATCTTTGTCAGTTCTGATTGCATCAAACGGGGATGCTAAGGATTGCCTGTCCCCCTTCACAGCTTCACACAGACTAGTGCATCCATCCATTAATGGATCATAATAGGACTGGTTTCTATTGAAACCTTGTCCAAATTCTATTTAATTATAGACATCTATCTGATGTTCATCCCTAGAAGGCACAGACAAATTCATGTAAACATAATGCCACCTTCTTATAACAACATATTGCTTTTATCAGTTCATTCTCATTCATTTGGGAAATGTAGGTATAAAAGATTACTAATACACTTTTTCACTTTTTACAGCTCTCCTATGTTGTGGACCATAAATAAACATATACATATATTTCATTTTCATTTTTGTTATCTTCTCTTCTAAGCATGATTCTATTCCATTCCCTAAAATGAGGAATACGATAGACTGGAAAACTTGTATGATTGTTCCATCAAGCTGAAGCATGCTTCAAAATGGAAGGGTCCTTTGATTACCTGGAGAAAATAGAAGGAAAATCCTGTACAAGTTTGAAATTGAAATGTAAATATGGTACAGATATCTCCAACCTCAGTTCAGTGTGGTCATATTATTAATGAGAATAAAGCATCCATCCTCCATAACAGAGCATCTGCCATTAAGAGCAGAGTGAGAAAGCATTTCTTTTGTTCAATTATGTTGAAAGATATAAAGCTGAAGGTCAAGTGTACTCTAAAATTTCCTGTGTTTAAATATAATCCCCTCTTCATTTGGACAGAGAATAAAAGACTCCACTGCACAGTGTTGCTGATCTGACCAGTGTAATTGGAGAATAGTTCTACCATTATGGATCACATCAACACTTGGCTCTTTGATGAAAGAGGTAGTCAGGGTCTTAATAGGTGCAGGATGAAGAAAGCAAAACTGCAATCACTATTTTAAACCTTTAAAGTGATTTTTCTATAGATTAATTTATTCCAAAATTCGGAATTACACATCTGTTTAGCACAAAGGGTTATAATTACAAAAAAGGAATAAGGAGTGGTTTCTCACCTTCACATGCTTTTGGTCTCAAGCATAACTGGAATAAAAAATTTGTGTTATTATATTAGGAGTCAAACTAAAGACCATGAAATAGTGATTAGAAAAGCTTACTAAAAGGAGGGTAGAGTACAAAAAAAAAAAAAGAGGAGAGGCACTCACTATATTAAAAGTTCATTAATTTAAAATAATATTCAGGAAAAATTGGTACATCTACCATTGGTGAAAATTTGAAGTATTGTAGACCTTAGTAAATTGAAGCCACCACTAACTGAATCACCAGGACATTTACTTAGGCTCATATTGTTTATAAACAACATCTTGAGTCAAGTGTATTAACATGCACATAAATTTCATGAAAATACTCAGGGGAATTATTAACTAATTACTCTCAGGTATGATCAGCTTTCTAAAACTTAACTTTTAGTATTAAAGACTGCTAGATATTAGCTATTCCTCCAATTACTCAACAGTAGTTTTTCTGAGACTAGGTTATATAAAGGTACCATTTTGCCAACAAATGACCCTACACCAGTTGGGTAGGTGGGCTATTGAGCTATGTCTCCCAGCAAGCGCATAGCATTTTCTCTTCTCACAAAACACAATGTGGTTACAGCCTCAGTCTACAAAGCCAAGTTTTCCTGTTTCCCTTGAGAATACAATCCCTCTCAGAATGGACAGTGAGCTCTGAGACAATGACAGCGGTAAGAATCTTAAATGCTGGGAGAATTGCAGGAAACCAAGAATTTTGTTGCACAGAGAGTAAATAGAGTTTCATATGGAGAAATTGATTTTCACTCAGTATAAAGTGGTCGGGACACAATTGTCTCAACTACTCCTGGGGGCTGGAGATCAGTGGCTGCTATGGCCCTAAGTAACTCTCTTCCTGTGTCCATTTCAACCCCCTCACTTGTTTCTCCTCATAAGGAACAGTACATACACCAAACATGGCAGAATTTGGATGAATGACACTGCACATACTTAATAAATGGAATGATCTGCATTGTTGTTGAACAAAAGCTACTCATCTCCTTGCAGATAATTCATGCTGTCACATTTACATAGCTATCTCAGGTATACATTTGCTTTTTATCCCCTCTGTTCCCACAGAATTCTTTGCTGAGTTTTCACCAATTAAATTGTTCTACTTGATAAGCATGATAACTTCAATAACTACATAATAAAAAGAGGAGTGTATGACCCCAAGTTCTCTGATTCCAAAATATAATTGTTTGGACATAGAACTAAAAAAGCCTCACAATTCAAGTACAGAAGTTTTTGGAAAGCCATAATTCTCCAAATTCCAATAGTTTTGATCAACAAGTATCTAATAACTCTTAGATGATTTATTCAAATGAAAAAGGAAATTGTGCTTACAAATGTATTATATGAATTTATTTTAAACTTTTAAGCCTATATGAAGCTTCTTATGTAAATCATAGAATAGTTCTGGGATGTTGTCTGATACTTTAGAAGTTTTCAAGTATCTTTCAGCCACAGGACATATTTCCTTTTGGGGTAGAATTTTTAGTACTTTCATTTGCATTTCACAAAAGTCTTAGATAAAATACTTTCAAAAACATATATGTTATTATTGGGTGCAAAAAACATTACTCGTGAGCCAAGTCACAGAGGCCCCAGTGACATTACAGCTGGTACAGATGGAAGGCCGGAGTATTTTTGACTTCAAGTAGTTTATATTCTGTGAACCTAATTTTCATATGCTTATTCATATACTTTTAATATTTATAATATATCTTTTGTGTAATAAAACATGTTAAGGATGAATTATCATCCATTTTTAAGTTTGTGGCATCGTGAATACAGTATGTTTGAGCAGTACTTCTATCGACTTTCCCAGCATAATGTTGTATGTACACAATGTTTTAAAGTCTTTAAATTTTCAGAAAATGCACATATTTTCTATTTTTGGTTTTGGGTTCAAGCAGTGAAATGTTTCTTTAATATGTACATTCACTTGAAACATATATACAGTATTTCAAACAAGCATTGTTGAAAATTAAATCTATTATTTAAATGGACACTCTTTCAACATACGGAAAACAAAATTATAGATATAAAGCATGGGCTACCAATATTAATAATTTATCACATTTTCTTCAATAGGCAAGAAATCAAGTCTACTTAGGTTTGTTTAAAATCAGACTTTTCTCTAACACACACAATGAAGAAAAGTAATCTAAATATCATTCCATCTGAATACTGGGAAGAATCAAAACTACAAACAAGCACCATTGGTGATGTATTTTGTGCTTTCTTTGGCCAATATAATTTGTAACCTTAACTTCTTACTGTACCTACTCACTCCTTATTTTTTTGTCTCACTAGCAGCATCTGTCAATGGCTGATGTAGTAAATAGTTATCCTGAATGATTATATTTAGAGTGCAATTCATTTATTCTGGTATAAATGCATTTTTACAGCACATTACTTTTTAAAATTCCAGTTGCACTTCCAAAGCTATAGTTCTCATTGTTCCACAGTGGAAATGAAATAGCCTACTTACTACCAATTCTTCACTCAAAACCAACCTCTTTTTTACTATTTTAATATTCTAAGCAAAGATCTCATTTTTAATTGAATTCTTTGAGGATCCCGATTGCACACAGAAGTTTTCAGCCAACCTCCTCAGTATGGCCAACTAATATCTTCAAAATTAGGCTCAAGTCTACACCAGGAAACAATGCACTACTAGCTGAAGGTCCTGAGTATCCAGACCCTCCTCTGACAACAGTCTATTTCTTTCCCAGATTTTGCTCCATGGATCCTTCTCAACAAGTTAAGATAGTAGCCATTTTTTTTTCAATGTACAACAATAGTGCCACTGTTTATAATACAGCTTCTGTAGTCTTTAACTGGATTACTGCTGTATGTTTCTGTCAACACTAATTTGGTATTTTGTTTTAGTATATGGTTTAAAAATAATATATACTTTGCATTATAGTTATGTGTTTGCTCTATTATTTTGTAAATTTAATTTATATTATGAGATATTCAGTTGCCTAAATTTTACCCTAGTATCTTTATGTTGAAGGCCTGGTGAATTGAATTCAGTCTGTTAATACATAGGTACTTGCTTAAGACAGATATAACTTCCCAGTATTATTTTTCTTCCCTGTTGTTTTTTTTGGTTTCTCACTTAACTTGCAGATCTCAAGTAGTCAGGATATAACAAATTCCCCAATGTTGCATTGTAATAGTTTAGAGTGAACTTTGGTAGCCACTGGCCATTTCTGATGAAGTCAGGAAAAAATTATTGGTTTTGGAGTAAAAGTTCTGGTGCTGAAGAAAATTTTTATATTAAAGAGACATACACATTAATGATAAAAGAAGTCTTGTTTGCAGTTTTGAAATTTACTTGCTTATTTTCAGTTTTTGAAATGCAGATTTATCTTAATTTTTATGATTTTGAAAATTTCTGCATATTGTAATTTTCTATATAACATAAACACTAGGTATATAGGGGACTGATAAAATAAATCAATAAAATGAGTTGTCTATGAAGAAATATGGCAGGTTCCTTAGCCTGTTGAAAAGGTACTCAAAAGTGATGGTTGTCACCACAATGTCAAACTTAACTATGAATTTTGCCAACCATTGGCTATTATTTTAGCTTTAAAACACACACACACACACACACACACACACACACGCACATGCACATGCACACACACACCAAAAAAACAGAAGAAATTAACTAAGCCCAAATGCCTAATTTTTAAGTGAATAAATCCCATTGAGTAGTAAGTGACATTGAAAATCTGGCTGAGAGTATTCACCCAACGTTTTAAAAACATGAAAAATTAAATGAAAACGTGTTCCAAATTTT